CTTGTTGATGCCAAGGTCAGAGGAGAATGGCCAGCCTGGTTCAATTCTGACCCTACCTGGGGGGCAACATTAATTCAAATAATCACTCATTACAACCAAGTTAAGCAGAAGAGCATCTCTGAATGCATGACACATCTAACCTTGAAGCAGCTGGACTACAGCAGCAGAAGCCCAACCCTTTCAACCATGTTCCAGTCTGATAATAAGCCATGCTGCAATTCTGCTTTTCAGTCACATTAACTCTCTGCTGCCTGCGGCTTTTATGCTTCCTGATTAAGACAGGAAACAGCATAAAGGTCAGCCCGCTGTGACCTCTGCAGAAAATGGTAAAAACAGGTCATTATTTAAGCCCAAGGGGAATAAAGCTACTAACCAGTTATCAGAAAGTCAAGGGACTATCAAATAATCTGTCATATTTATGTTATTCTTTATTTTCCATGAAGCCCATGAGTCAGTCAATAAGGTCATTGATGTCAAACAATCATAAAGTGCTAGTTTTACACAGAACATAAAATGGGTAAGAGTGAAGGCGGACCTGCTATTAACTCTAATATCATCCCATCACTGCCACGCTTTCACCTTGCCTGAGGTGACGAGCTCTGCCACATAATATCTGGCATCCGACCGAACAACACGGACCGCTTTGCAAACAGAACGAACCAGGAATCAACCAAACGGACAAACACAGGCTGCAAACGTGTTTGTGTCAACATGTTTAGTTTCCTCTCTCAGAAAACGTTTGAAACACAAAGGTGGTCAAACTAGTGTATGTATATGCTGAAAGAAATGAACAGTGTAGTTTTTATGGCAGCTGCATTTTAACAGAGACAAAATATGAAACAAAAACCTTATGTCTGGAGCTGCATGCATGATTTTGACAAATGGGGTGAGGATGATTGTTGAGGAAGGTGGTGGATCAGCCCGAAGCTCCACGGGAAGACATTGTTAACGATCTGAAGGCAGTTGGAACTGCAGTCACCAACAACACCATTGGTAACACAGGATGCTGCAATACATTGAAATATTGCAGCACCTGCAAGTTCCCCTTCTCAAGAAGGCACGTGCACACCTCTGTCTTCAGTTTGCCAGTCACAATCTCGATTTAGAGAAGGTTTGCGAGAAAACCAATATCGAGCTCTTTGGAAGAGAAATGCTGAGTTCGACTAAAAGAACACCATCCTCTACAGACAGGGCCATGTACCATGAAACTGTGGATACTGCCAAAGCACCAAAGGAGTGGCTAAAGAAGAGGTCATAAAGTGGTGCAGCCAGGCTCCAGACCTCAATCTTACAGAAAACGGTTGGAGGGAGCTGAAGCATCAAGCTGCATAGCAGCAGTCAAGAATTTCACTCACTGATCTGCAAATCAATTATAACTTTTATGTGATGTTTACTTTTCTTGTCGAATGAAGTGATTCACCAGGGGATCGAATAATTATTTCCCCCTCTGTATAGTCTGTTAACTGAACAGCAGAACAATTCAATTACTTGACCATCATCCTCAGTAGAGGGGGTGGCCTACTTAATGGAGGTCTCTAAGCATGATAACAAAGCCTGGGAGTGATTAGACAGGAATTAGTGTGTTCATCCTGAGGCGTAGCTCTGACCTCTGTCACTAACTACAATATCTAAAATCTGTTTCACCTGGTTTCTTTTGATCTAAATCTTCTAAGAGAAATGTTAAACACTACACAGTCTGATTAATAAAAAAGGGAGTGAGGCAGCAATAGGAAATATCTACATTAACGTGAGTGAAAGTAGGATTTTGTCATGGTAACACCTGCTCCCCTAGGATGGCCCCAGAATCGATGCTTCTCCTCCCAATCAGCTGAAAATGGTTTTAAATAAACTAAGCTGGGGCCACATGGGACTACATAACAATATGTCTTAATTTAACAGATTCATTAAGTCTGAAATGAAACCAGAGCGCTGCTCCAGATGTGCTCCACAGCCAACATCAGCAGAGCAGTGATAAATGTTCATATGCAGCCTTACTACTACAGTTTTAAACTCACTATAAATGATTGCTTTAAATCAAAGCTTAAGTCCCCCTGATCTGATAACAAGATCTCAAAGTATTTGTGTTAGATTTATGTAAAGTGTCTGCCATCCCAATGTCACATGCAAGTACAAGAAATCTAAATAAATAAATAAATAAATAGAAAAGGACAAGCTGGTAGATGGCCATACCTTTCTCTGTGGTGAGGAAACATCTTAGAAGATCACCAAGACTTCTTTTCTGTAAAAGAAAAGACTGAGGATTGGTTAGACAACTGTTAACGTAAATTACTTTAATAAAAATTATACTAGAAAAAAAAACCCCGGAATAATCATAAAAGTTTGTCCCTGTAGTTTAACATTTTCCCCGCTCTTAATTCTTACTTAAAGTCTAGTTAAATCTGTGTCGTGGATAGAGAGGCGCTTACCCCATTTCGGTGTAAAACCTCGTCGAGTCTGTTATCTAACAATATTTTGCGTCCTGAAACTGCTGCTGCTGTCCCAGTTGGTCTCCTCTTCCTTTCAGTCACAGCTACCAGATGCTTTATTCTTGCTTTATTCTCCAGGGGGGGGAGGTTTCACCGCAAGGCGCTGCACTCCGCCTGCTGCAGCCCGCCAAGTGGCACCGTCCTGCCCCGAGCAGCTCGCAGAGTCAGAAGCCGGGGAGAGCAGAGCTGCTGCGGACGGCAATGGCTGAAGTGACCGCGGGCTGCTCCGAGTCCATCTTCGTCTTGCCACAGAACCTCTCTTTGTTTCCTCGTCTTTCACTGCTTATCCTGTACGGCCAAACCTCTCTGTTCTCCCCTTCAGTTGTTGGCTCTTCATCCGGCCGGCTGTTCGCATTCAACAGCCGGCTGTATAGTACCACCTGCTGGCTCTGCAGCCTCCAAACACCCGCTCCAGCTGTGTGTGACAGTCAGGTATGGAAACTATGTCAACGCGCCTGCATGTGTGCAGTGCAAACCGGAGCTTTAAGGTCTGCCTTGACCTAAAAAAGAAAAAGAAGAAGAAGAAAAAAAAAGTGAAGAGTCGTGCAACAGCCCATTTAGGACCTATTGGTGTAATGAGATTTTGCAATATGAGAATCCTCCTGTTGTTTTGCCCTCTTAAGCAGATTAAAGAGAACTCCACATGCTAGTAATTCATCTCACAGGAGAAATAAAAGACTCAAATGAAGCTGAATGAGCAAAAAGAAGCAAACTTTAATTTTCCAAGATTATTAACACAAGATTTTCTTTTTGTGAGTACACTTTTTAAGCACCAACTTCAGTTAGTGGGAAGAAAACAAAAACAAAAAACAGTGCAGCAAACATAAAAACATTGTTCACTTCAGCTTTAAACAGCAATAAGCCAAACAAGGTCACAGCAAAAGTACAGAGGAAGAACTCAAAAGTTAGCCTCAGTTCATAAGACATGCAAAAACCACGTGTAGGCTTGAGATGTTTTATATGTTGGTGATTTTTATGTAAAAGGTAAAGCAGAGCAGTTTTCAAAGTTGAAGATGTGGAGTCTAAGAATAATTTAGAGCAAATCTACAGATATATAAATGGGGTCAGACTATTAATTTGATGTCCTACACAGCATAAAGACACACCTACTTAACTTGACTATTGTAGCATTAAAGAAAAACCAATAATTCACGCTTCGCAGGTTTCATTCCTGTGGATGCCTTTTCTCTTTGGCAGCCTGAGCACTCTTCACCACACGCTCTGCCCTCTTAGCATCTACAACAGGATGTTAAAATTATTAAGACGCTTTGGCTCAGAGTGGACAATCCAAAGCTATTACCGCTCAGAAAATGACAACGTTCTTCAGTATAGTGGATTCAACAACATAAAAAGGAAAGCTTTTAGCATCACATGGATAACATGAGGCGGTGAAAGATACTGATGTAAGCTTCACTAGTGCGAAACGAGAACTTACAACACCGAGTACTGAAACAGAGATACAAAGTTCATCATAGACCAAACTAACTGCTCTGTCCTCAACATGATTGTACTACTGCTTTAACAGTTTCACACTCTTCTATAGGTTAAAGACTAACAAAAAGCAAAGAAAATCAAGAGGAATGGGGGGTGGGTGCTTATCTACATAAATGTTAAACTTGGGTTACATGTGTTCGTAATTTGAAGGTAACTTCACCTAAGATGTGTAACCTCTAAATGTGTCATCGGTCGACTTCTCAAATGCATCATCAAAACATCTGTGTCCAACGTGGTGAAACCAAGTTGTCCGTTGTACAGTTGAGCCTTACATGTTTTCACCCTCCTTTTCAGTGAGCATTCATGTCAAGTACTCCACCACGTGTACCATTTACACCTCTGTCTCACCGTCTGCATGTTTTATGACGTCTGACTTCAGGGCAAGGCTCTTTGGGAAGTTCTGCCCTCTTGATTCGGCTTATCAGGCGCTTTCAGCTATATGTGCTTGGCGACTGCTATCTGCTAGCTTTAGCAGCTTTGGGGGAGGGGTCAGCAGAAAAGAATAACCGCTTTATTCAGTTACAAGCTGGTTACAGTGCCCTCACTCGTCCTTTTGCACTATTAAAAAGACACAAAGAAGAACAACAAAACAAAACAAAAACAAAAAACAAAATTATCTCACGATCCGCAGGTCTTTGGAGCTCAGATTTGGAGACAAAAATGTTTTTCTTTTTTACGTTTACACATTTAAGAGCTTCTTCCACCACTTTGTTCTTTGCAGACCACCTAGGGAAAGACCCGCCTTGAAAGATGGCCAACTACACTAGCTTGCGTCACTGAAAACCCTCAATGAAAACAGCCTTTATTTAGAAAACTTTCCAACTCAAAGCTGAGAAAGCAAAGCAAATGACCCATAACTGGTTAGTCCTCAAATTTCTTTTAAACCTCTGAGGCACAGCACCACAAGCATTTCTGAGTTCTGTTGAGATGCCAAACGTTTCTCCCGGTTGCTTAGAAATGTGATCAAATGCAGAACCTTGATTCAAGCTTTGAGTTTAAAAAAGTTGCCATGTCAACTGCTTCAAGAGCTGCGTCTCCATTTATTTTTCTCTCTCACTCCAAGTCACAGTGGACGTCCTGTTGTTAGCTTGGAGGACTTGTGTGAGACACCTCTTCTCCTTCTTTCTCAGCTTTTGGAGCAAGAATCCCAACCACACCGCATTGAGATCCGAGGGTTCGGGGGCACGCGAGGGACAAGATGACGCAGTCGGCCCCTTTCCCCTCTCCAGAATGCCTCAGATCTTTTCGCCCTCCTCGACCTGTTGAAGGTCTCACCTCTCCCAACTGCGCCGCTCCGAGGACAACAGCTTTCTCCTTTGCTATGTCTTCGCGTGTGAGCAGCAGTGCCTTCTCTCCTCTACCAGTCTCCCACTCTTTCCGTCTTGCTCTCGTCCTGTCCAGCTCTACTCCCATTTTTACTCTCACTCTTGTGATTGGTTGGTTTCTCACGGTCTCTCTCCTGTTACTTTCACACAGTGGTGCTTCGGTTGTAGCAGTGGAAAACGGGTATCCATGTTTGTTCTTTTTTGTTATTACCCAGATTAAAATACCAATGAACTAAGCTTCACACAGGCCTAGCTCCTTTCCTGCAACCTGCAAGACAAACACACTTGTTTCAGAGAATATTCATTTAGCTTTTCAGTGCACTGCAACATACACATTGTATCACTCTGAAATTAATCCAAGTCTCTTAAATGTTAAATAAAAAGTTGGAGAAACCCGTTAGTAAGTTCAGCTTAACATAAAGATAAAAACGGCTTTCCTGATGTGCAAGGGCAACAAAACCCACACAACAGCACATCGAGCTCTGGCACGTGTGTTCAAAGTTAAAGTTAGTTCTAACCTATGTGTTAAAAGCTCATGATAGCATAATTTAATCAAAAAAGTTGAACTACTCCTTTCATTTTAGTGAGTCATCTTAGCCCACAGTGGAATATCTTACAGTCTAGTACTGGGACAGTCCAGTCACACCACCATGGTAGGCCCGCTCCCCCTGGTACGTGGAATCCTGGGACAAAGCCACATCAATCTGAGACTTGAACTCATCTCCAAGGTAACTGTCCTATAACGGGACAAACAAAAAGAGATCAGTCAACAGTTATTCCTTCATTTCCTTCCATGCAGTAGAGAAATCTTGGACATGTTTTTAAGAGAAAATCTGGGCAAATGTTGGACTAGGTCAGAAACAGTTTTTCAGATAAACAAACCAACCTGGGAGAGTTCAGGCTGGGAGAGCCCAGGCTGGCTCATCTGTGACGGCTGGCTCATGTTAATGTAGCCCTGCGTCAGAGGGCCCTGGGAGAACGGCTGGGAGCCCTGGTCCTGGCTAGTCTGGCTTGTAGTCATTTGACCTCCATGCTGTCCGCGGTCTGTTCCACCGCTGTGGTTTCCACGGTTTCTTTGACGGCCACCTCGAGTTCCCCCACCTCCTCCGCTGCCCGATTTGCCCTTTAGACCGCCACCGCGACCTGTTCGTAGATCAAGTCGGGTAACAAAATTCCATTAAACAATTCCTAGCTGCCTTAAGGGGAAACTGGAGGTAGCATGACAAATTTATGACTTTCTCACCTGCTGTAGGTCCATTCACCTGTCCCAAGTATCCTGGTGGAGGAATCGGAGGCATCACAAGGTTGAAGGGGATCGGGATGTTCATGGAGGACATGGGATTGGCACCTGTGCCAATCATACCGATCTGGTCATGCGTCTGGAAATACATGTTGGACGAACGCCCTGCAGTAGTACGCATGTTAAATGCACTTGGTTAATTATACTTTTTCAGTTGGGGGAAAAAGGTGTGTATGGGGTAAGAAAGACATCTCACCGTTGCTGCTACGATCGTAAACAGACCCAGGAATGAGGGCCTCCCTGGCATCATACATAGCTGTGCTCATGAATCGGCCACCCTAAAAAAGAAAACAATAAGAAAGCTCATCTTTGCGTCTTTGCAGTGATGTATTATACTGGTTTATTTTTAGTCCTCAGTACAAAAGCAACAAATATTCATAATCGAAAAACAACAAACAAACAAAAAACTTTACTTTAGCATCAAAAGCACTGTGTGTGTGTAACTAGCACACACACACACACACACACACACACTAAACTCACAGGGTTGATTGTGTTCACCAGCTTGCGGGGCTTGCTGAATTGCATGAGGCTCTCCCTCAGGTTGTTGAGTGGGCCTTCAACCAGGACCTTCTGCTCCTTGTAGTAATTGAGCAGGTGGTTCCACAGAGGCTGCTTGGACAGGGCTTTGGGGTTTCCCACAATGATCACGCCATATCTGTGACAGAGCAAAAGACAGTAACAAATTAGGGTACGTTGTCCTCACAGTGATGGTTTCAAAAAGCTGGTGAGGTTTCTTGCATTACCTGGCCCTGGTGAGTGCCACGTTAAGACGTCTGGGATCATTGAGGAAGCCGATGCCCTGGTGCTCGTTGGCCCTCACGCAGGAGAGGATGATGAAGTCTTTCTCTCTCCCTTGGAAAGCATCAACACTGGCTATTTCCACCTCCTGCACAAAGTATGAAGACATTCTTGGGTGAGGCGTTTTATATTTTATTCCAACACTAAACACAAGTGCCTGAAATTCTTTGGTCCTGTGTCCTGCGTAGGTGCTACAACAAGTGTTTGGCCTCTCCTTTAAGGATGCTGGTATTTCATTAGTTTAGACTGAATCAATTTAACATTCATTTGAAGTTTGAATGAAACATTTCTCAGTCTACCTGGTAGAGTTTGGTGTGGAGGGAGCCACTGAACTGCATGTACTGGACTAGATAGGACCTCTGACCCTCATAGGGAGTGATGATACCAATCTGATCAGGTTTTGCTCCAGCCTTCAGCAACCTCGTTGTTATTTTCTCCACATTGGCTGCCTCAGTCCTGCATGAACAAGTAGAGTGAGTAGAATGATTTTTCTTTTGAATATAGAAAATCTGAAGTAACACAGGAATCTATTAACCTTGACTATAAACAGATGAGACATCACTTCAAGCATACAGTGTTTCTGAACACCTAAGTCATCTACTTTATATCAGGATTGTTCGAAGTGATTCAGAAAATTTATGTCTGTCAAATATTGGCTATTTTCAGGCATCATTTAGGCACTAAAAGGCAGACACAGGCAACAGAGTCCAAGAAAGTTGGCACCTGTTCAAATAAGATGTTCCAGAGCTAGCAATTTCCTCTTGGCCTTGGGTGACATAGAAGAACATCGGCTTGTCTGGTTGGGGCCACTGGAAGTCGAAGCCTTTTTTCACACGGTCCGCTGCAGAAAGAACAAACAGATTATGGTGTGCAGTCTGGTACACTTAATAATCACATTAATAAGCTGGATATGATTAGCGACAGGCTGTGTTACATCTATGAGTCAGCTGCCAGATGACTACATTTTAGAAGAGCATAAAAAACAAATGCAAATGTTTTACAGCCTAGAGTGGGTTTTAAAGAAATATCCAACACAAAGTGTCACATAAAGCAGCATATACAGATGGTAAAGATCTTTATTTACTTTTAAGTGTCTGTACTGGTAAGAAATGAGGAAATGTAAGGTTGTATGTCTTTCTTTCCATCTCACCAGCAGTGACTCCGTTCTGCAGAGAACCCTCATAAAAGATGTTGGAGGGGAAGGCACTGAGGGCCGGGTGCATGCGGTACTGGACCTGCAGACGGATTGGTCGGATCCCCAAAACTACAAGACGCTCGAACAGAGACTGGGACAGACCTGCTTTAGCTGCCTTCTTACACATCACCACAGGTCCCAGCTGGCAGTGATCACCCACAAGAATCAACTATGAAGAAAATAAACGCATCGTTACAAATTGCAGCAGTTTAAGCTGATCACTAATACTTCAGATTACTCATCAAGTGTTATTTTCACTTATGGAGCTTCAACCTGTTTGGCTCCAAGGACTACAGGCACCATGCACTCTGGCTCGGTGGCCTGGGTGCTCTCATCGATCAGGATAGATCTGAACTGCATCTTGGCCAGACGAGGATCTCCTGCCCCAACGCATGTACAGCAGATCACGTCAGCATTCTGGCAAAGAGAAAAGAGAGAAAGTTGAGTTTCATTATGATGAAGTATCACTTGTTTTTTTTCCTTAATAAACCATCACAACAATAAATAATATTTTAGTAAAAAGTTAATGGAAAGTCTCATCATACAAACTATGACAAAAAAAATATGGATGAATACACATTACTGTGCCTAGCACTGTCATAAACAGGACATATTTAGAGTTCAGCAAGTCCAAATGACACACCATAAGCAACTCTCTCTCAGCAGTGCGCCTCAGAGCTCTGTAGCGCTTCTCATCTGAGGAGGACAGCTCTCCAGTCTCATCCTTCAGCTGTTGGAGTTTCTGAAGCTCTGGCATACTGCAGGCATGAACACATTTATCAGAGTGTGAGATCAGTGATGTGTTTGTGTGCAAAGATTGTGTGCTGCTCTGACACAAACTGTTATAATACAACATCATAATCTTAGTTGTGGTTCCCCTAAACAGTTTTAGACTGCCTGTGTAAAACTAAAGCATGTATGGTAGTTTTATTGAATCAATACAGACCAACAGCTAGTCCAACTCTTTAAAAAGAAGACAAAACAGGCTAATCACAAATGCACAAAAAAGATAGACAGATGTGTGTTACCTGTCCATATTACGGGTCTGGTTGTGCAGAGCCAGGAATGACACTGGTGAGTCTATGGCCTCTCTGCTCTTGGCACAGAGTCTCACCACCTTGAGCCCTGTTTGGTGAATCTTCTCAGTGAGCTGATCAACTGCAATATTACTGGGAGCACAAACCAGCACAGGCCTGGGAAGACAATTTTAAACCGTATTAATGGTCTTTTTTTCTAATTATTTATTTCAGCCAGGACTAAGGTCATAAAGACTTCAAGGAATATTGTAAAAAAAACAACATTAAGTTAAATGTAGAGTAAATAAAGAATAAAGCAGAAAGGTGGCATTACAAAAAAGACTAGAGTCAAGTTTCGTACCCATTTCCTTGTCTGGCGAGGTGGTACACAATGGTGGCAGAGGTGACCGTCTTTCCTGTGCCAGGTGGGCCCTGGATCAGACTGAGGGGGCGCTGCAGCACTGTTTTCACAGCGTACACCTGCATCACAAAACAAAAAAATCCATGTGATCTCTGACAGGACAAAGTCCAAGAGGCCAGGTAGCAAGCAAAACTGATTTCAGTCATGTAACACGCCTTCTTCTCCAACTCACCTGGGAGTGGTTAAGGTCAGGGAGGCCTTGAGCAGTGAAGCGTTTGGGCAGCTGGCACTTGATGACCACATCCTCTACCTCATGTCCCAGCAGTTTGTGGTAGATGTAACCAGACACTGAAGTCTCATCCACAGCAAATGTCTTCAGAGCACTCTGCATCCTGAAAAGAAAAACATATTTTTTTAACAAAACACTGTTATTGTAACTGATACAGAACTTTAGGCTTCAGGTCTTTATTGCACTAATCACATCAAATACAAGAGTGCACAGATTTGAAATACCTATCAAAGGAAGTGGACTTCCACACAAAGTCCACCTGAAAGATGTGAGGGATCTCCACTGGAGCCCCGGCACTGCTCCTTAACTCGATGGCTATTTCATCACCATAATCTGAGACAGAAGGTCAAGGAAACAGCTAACGCTTCAATATGTACTGGAGTAACAAAAACATTTCATTTCTGGCACTGTATGTCTTACCCAGATTATTCCCCAACTGGACTCACAGATATTCCTAATGATACATTTTAGATAACTTCCTATTTTAAAAGTGCATCCATCCCAAACTCCAAAATTCCAATAATTTATGAGCGGTCTCTCACAAGTACTGAGGGACAATCACAGTCTTCTTCTGCATGTAAAATTGTAAGCAGCAGCTACTCTGTCCTTTAATGAAATGCAAACCCAGCTGCACAACAGTGCATGTAGAATGTTTTGGGTTTGGAAGAAGTGAATAAAAAGGTCTGCATGAAAGTTTTACATAACTTTTGCCTTTCTGCAATTTATTTTTGAATGCAAGTCATGCAAACACTGCTTTGCATTTCTGGTTAAAACACCTAAAGTGATTCAGTCTCTACTTCGTGTTAGTTTCATTAACACTAAATGTTCAAACTGTGGAGGAGAGTCACTAAAAATGCAATGATCCACAGCCTTGGATTGTACTTGTGGTGTAGTGTAAATTAGAAATTATCCTGTATAAACAAGATCTAAATATAGAAATTGTTTCCAAAATACACTGGAGCATGAAGGAAGACAAGTTTGTTTATATGGTTGTAGTTTCACACAGCCGCCACTAGGTGTTGCTAAAGATCCATACATCACCTTGCCTGTAGTTTTAAATGTGTATAAACAGATTATATGGTTAAACTGTAGTGTGTAGCTTGGGGATGGTATGCCTATTCAAAGTCATAAGGATACTGTCAGGGACTTTGATGACATGTCCAATGCCTTTCCAAGGAGGGGCCAGGTCTCCTTTGTATCTCAGGCAAATTTCATCTCCCTGCATCAGCCGCATATCTAAACAACGGGTGATGAGACAAAATATTTTTTTAAATGCACATTAAGAAAAAAAAAATTTCAAAATGAGTGCAAAGGATTATAAAATCATACAACCGAATAAGTTTAAAGAGTGCACACACAAATCACAAAGCAACATAGTATGAAGTGATGGCTGTAAACTTCACAGTGAAACTACTGCTACATACCTGAGTCTGTCTTGGGAAGGGTGAAATAAGCAATCCTCTTCTTATTCAGGCCCAAGTCCCATCTTACTGTGATGTTGTCTTGTGTCTGTTGAGAAATAAATTAATAACAAAATTATAATTAATATATAAATATCTAAATTATATTATAAAAATAATAAATGTAAACAACAGAAACAGCAATGACGCTCATCCATTTTTCAAAATTATCATACACAATAAAAACTATGAGTACGTTTTGGTTACAAAATCCTCAAGAAGTAAATGCAGAAAATCCCTGGCTATAGATCTAAGCTTTTAAGTCATACAGTAAAAAAAAGAATTCACTTACAAACAAAACAAATAGCTAAAGTACTGTGACAAGAAATCATACAAACTGTTATCAAGTTGTTTGTTACCTGTGACTCTTTGAGTTTCTTATCATAGTCAGCTTCCAGCTTCACAAGAGGACCAAAAATGTTTTGGTACTGGTAGGCATCCTCATAGCGAAGCAGGACATGTTGGGGCTCCTCATCTACTCCAGGCTTTTCCAGGTCCTCCAAGGTTGCTGTGGGATTTTCCTACCAAGGAATAAAAAATTAAAAAAAATTAAAAAAAGAAAGAGAAAAAACAAACTCACCCACCCACACGTCAGATCGTGCATGATAAGATTAAAAATGTGGATAGAAAAGCAAAAAAATATTTAGAGATGGGCAGGTTCCTTTGTGGTGAAAAATAGTAGATTCAAACTAAGAAACATTCAGATAATTTGGTATGTAAGCACAGTGGAATCCATAAATCTTATGATAGATCATTACTATTTTACTGCTTCAGTTTTAGGTTCCTGCATTAGGTCTGCTGGCTCACTACCTTAATGTTAGTCTATTTGAACACATGAATAGAACCAAAGGCAGTATTTAGTACAGTTATATACGGTATTTGCAAATATAACAAGTCAAAAACATCTGGAGGAAAAAGATTAATGTTCTAGCACGCACATGAAGCAGACAGTGCAGACATTTCCGTTACATTATTTGCATAACAGACAGCTGTATAAATTCATCTGGTTAAGTGTAACTATATAGATAAGTCTGATCCGCACTCAAATTCGTGCTGTGGAATATTTACATAGTGAAGGTGGTGTGACAGTACCTTCCACAGCTCCTCCAGCTTGTTGATCTGCTGAGCAGTGATCTGGCGTGCCCGGAGCTGCTCCTGTTCTGAGGGAATTTTGACCAACCAGGAAAGAAAGCAGCGGTCCTGGATTAAAGGCTGCCACTGTGAGCTGTCCCAGTTGATGTCTTTCAGGCTACTCTGGCTAGCACATGGCTGCCTGTGTTAAAATCAAAACAAAAAAGTCAAACATAATTTGTTTAAATGACCCCTATGGGTGAACAGTCAGCTACTCAGGTTTTGCCCTTACCTGCACAGTAACACCACAACTGAGTCAGCCTTGGCAGGAATGAAGCCAAGCAAGAAGACGTTGCGACAGCCACAGTTGTAGCACTCCAAAACCGTTTCCCCCAGGGGGCCATCTTTATGCAGGGTCACCTCCTTGGACTTTGCCCTCACCAGGTGGTTAACAATGTGGCTACAAGTGAGTAGAATAGCAATTAAGGCACTAGCTGGGAAAAAAAAGCAAGACTGTGCATTCAGTACACTAATAATTCTTACTTTCCAAGTCTCAGCTCAACATGTTCTAACCATGCAATTGTCGTCTCAAAAACCCCACTGTGCAGTGACAGAATTATGAAACCTGATTTGTCTATAATGTCAAAGCAAATACACTGTGTGTGTTTACTAGAAGAGCTGAATGAATAGGGAATGCTTTGTATGACAGAGGTGATCCACAATAGTCTGGTTTTAACTGTAACAGTTCAGGAAATAATACAGTACTAGGTTAAACAGTTCTTTACTTTGGATTTCAAAATTAAACATTAGCCTAAGTGGCCTTTCACAGTCAAACAATCTTCTTTGACTTCTGCCTTAAGTCAACAATGAAACTATAGTCATCCATTTTTAATAGCTGTTTCACAACAAAACAGAAACTCATTATTACAGTCACTGTACTTGTCTAACTAAAGGATAGCGCACCTGTAAAATTATCCCCTCAAGTGTTATTTAGTTAAGACCTAACATAGGACGGAGCAAAAAGAGGCTGGTAAGTGAGTGCATCTTACCTGCCAGAAGTGTTTCCACGGCCGTTGCAAAACCACTTCTTGCTGGTGTTGCAGTAGACCACACAGGCTGGATCGTGAATCCCACAATAACTGAAGGAGAGTCAAAATTGAACAAGAAATGCAAAGCATTTTTATATAAAAGACCACACAGAAAAAAGAACCAGAAAACAGGGAAATTGCACTTCCCCAACTTCTACTCTTACAAGACCTCTGGTGTGGCAAACCCACATATTAAAACCAAAAATCAACTGGCAGTAGCCTTTTACAGCTGTGTAAAGCAACAATGCATGCACAATAAATCCAAACTGCAAACAGAGACCATAAAACAACAAAATAAAATGACACAAGCACATGATGACAGGCAATTCAGAAACATTAGTCTGGTCCTTTACCTGCAAGCATGCACAGGAAGGTCCTTGGTATAGTAAGTGTCCTCCTCATCCTCCTCAAAGTTCAACTCTGCCAGTAATTGGCTGGCCTTCACAACAGGGTCGTCTCCATTCTGTAACACACCATCAGGGCCATTGACCTGAGGAGACAAACGAATTTAAGAGTCATGAAACGAAACTTATTGTCGACATTATGCATTATATGCCACAGGATCACACATCGTCAACTGATACTGGAAAAGATGGGCGCCAAACTGGGCAGTCAACCAGACCGATGAAGTCTTATGTAATGTAATTTTTCCACAGCAGCAGTCATACTGTCCCATCATTAAACGGACTGTTGACAGTATTAGAATAATTGCCTCTACTGACCAGTGATTGTTATTTTTCAGTGACAATGTATTCAGTGCATATAACTATAAGTAAGAGAAATAAATAACTGCCGGTACATATATGTATGGGCATTTTTGCTGGTTTACCACGCAGAAAATTCAGTCTTAGTTCATATAGCAATAAAGTCAAGTGGCTTTACATGCTAGTTATATCGGCATGCTAGCTATGTTAGCCGTGAGCTAAGCTGGCTAGTTGCCGTGCTAGCCATTAGCGGAATAAAAGCATGGTAACGGAGGCAAGGCGTCAGATGCTAACGATGTTGTTAGCCATCGTTAGCTGATTCACGTTTTGTCAACACAGCAGGACCTTCATTCATGCACAGAAACGGCGTGAATAACCACACGAACCTGGCCGTCTAGCTGACTCTGGGTTTGGCCTTGAGTCTGGGTCTGGCTCGGCAGGGTAAAATCGGTGAAGTCGTACTCGGAGCCCTGAGTGTCCGCTCCCAGCAGCTCGGCTTCCTCGGTGTCCAGGAACGTTAGAGTCTGCGAGCTCGGCCCGTACGCCTCGACACTCATGTTTTTCACCCTTTTGTCAGCGGTATTTTGGCTGTTGCTACAATATTCCACAACTGTTGATGCTTCAGATCAAACCGAACAACGGACACAAGCTAATAATAAGAAAATGACAAACAGTGGTGGCAAGAGAGAAAGACAGGGGGAGCCTTGATCGCGGCGGCGTTCCGTTCGTCTTCTCCACCCCCGCTCCTTTCCTCTCATCCCTCAGTACCACTTGTCTCCTATAGGAAGTCACCTGTAGGAAGCGAGAGAAGGCAAGGAGACAAGAAGACAGGTGCCGATAGAATAGGGACAGGTGTCAACTGATTGCTCAAATATCTACATATCTATAGATATAAATGTATAGATATATATACTCTTTGAAAAAAGTTTATTATTATGCACTGTCAAACTTTATGACTCCATAAACTGTCTTACACTACATTTAACCGTTAAAATTAAATGTCTATTGCAGTCTATTGCAGGGCTAACACAGAGAGACAGAGAACTGTTCACACTCATGGGGGAAAATGCCATACAAAACCATGTACAAAACAATAGATTTACACAATAAAATACAGTGGACACTTTACTAATGATTATTACAAAAACATGCAAAGACACGATTCAATCTTTTGTAGGCTTGGTTTGTTTTAAGTAGTACTATGATCATACTAAAGTTTCTTTCCAAAGAAGTTGGGATGCTGTGTAAAATGTAAAAACAGCGAAGCATTTGTGTTTAAGACCCACTGATAATGCAGCAGGATAGTGCATTTTGCCCAGATTTTCACTGCAGAAACTCAGAATGGTACTCAGTAGGTTGTATAACCCTCACGTCTTTGTATGCATGCCTGACAAATCCCATGTTTTTAGAGAGAGGATCTCCTTCCAGATCTGAACCAGGGCATCACTGCAATCTGGTAGCGTTGAATGAACTGAAACATAATGTCCCAGAGATGTTCTATTGGATTTATGTCAGATCAGTCAGTGGTATCAATTCCTTTATCTTCCAGGAACTGCCTGCATACTCTCACTACATGAGGCGGGGTTATTGTTGAGCACCCAGGACCCACCACTAAACTGGTTGTACTGAACGATGATACGGGCAGCAAAATGTTCTCCACAGCTTCTCCAGACCTTTCCACGTCTGTCACATGTGCTCAAGGTGAGCCTACTCTCAAATGCTTTAATATCTAAAAAACAAATCACACTTGTTGATAGGGAACAAGTGTGATATGGACGAGCAAGTGGTGGCTGCAGAGAGGGGCCGGCAGCTGTCAGAACAGCTGGGTAAGTCATTTGGTCAGAATGAAAACTGGACACTGTGTGTGGTATTGTATCACTCTGGGTGTGCATCTCCCATTTCCAGGAATATTTAAGTTTATTCCGATGGCCAAGTTTTGATTAGATTGTTTGTTTGTGAGGCTGTCGTTATGGGAGCAAACATAATGCTTAATATCTGTTTAATGTCCTCTTCAGCTTTGCTGCACTGCATCGTTTCATTTGTGTGTGAAACTGATGTTTGCAAGAGGTTAAAGCTGCAGCAGCTCTTACAGAGAAATGTTATCGTTTTAATGTGTGTTTGGGCTTGTGGCCTTCATCACGGCCATCATAAAATATTGCATTGTTTTAAACAGGATGAGAGGTTGTAACAGTACTGGTGTAGTACAGTGCTGTGCAAAAGTCTTGAGCCATTCCTCATTGCTTTATGTTCTGCTTTGAATGAACCAGAGTTTCTTGTAATGTTTAAAGTGCTCTAGGGTAACGGTTCTCCAGATTTTTGAAGGTCTTTGAAAGTTTTCCTTTGGACATTGGCTGCTTTTTCACTCATTTTCAGTTGCATCTTTGTACCTGACCATTTTCACAGGACGTTTTTTTCTGTTTTACGCTACACTAATCTATTAACCATTCAAACAAAAGAATGATTCTAATCTAAGGATGGACCAGTGTTATGTCTGTACATAACAGGCAACTTGGTAAAGAACCAGTTTTAAATTGTGTCTTTAGACTTTGTCAATAGCAGCCTGTTGCAAAAACACATAATTTGTTCCCATTCCTGTAGTTTAATCTATAAAAATGTCAACAGCATAGTTTGACGGGCATAACATCCTCTTGCATCAAGGAGATTCCCAGAGAGCCATAAGCTAAAAACTTGGCACAGTTTCTGCCTGGGGTGCAGTGTTTCCTTAAAAAAAAAAACTGGGAAAACTGAGCTTGTGGAGTAAAAAGAAGAGGTGGCCTAAAACAGTAGCTACAGCAAATGAACATGATCTGAAAGTCACGTCCTTAAGAAACAGGAAGAAACAGGATTTTTTTTTATTTCGTTGTACCTGTGACATTTCTGAAGTGATTCAGTGAGGAACTTACACAGGATCTGGGAGGTGTATCTGACCTTTTAGTTTATCCATCTGCTGTTCACTGAAGCCTCATCAGAGATGGTCTCAGTTGTCAAACGGCCATTCTTTAAAAAAAAAAAAAAAAAAGGAAGCAGGCAAAATGCTGAGGTAGGTATAATGTTTGCCGTTTTACATCAGGAAGGATGATTCTTGAATAGTTTGAACCATTTCATTTAACCAAATAACAGTTTGTAGTTCCTCCACCAGGTGGGCATTTTTCAAGCAACAATAAAAACTTGTCATTTGCAACATCAGATCTATTTTTTTTACTACATTAAATTAACCTCCTAAGACCCGAACTCTTCCACGGCATGCATTTTTAATTTCTCTTTGATATTTGGACATATTGGGTCCCAATGAATGTAAAAACAAAGAATTACCAGATTTTTTTTTACCTTATTTTTGTTTTTATGAAAAATAAGAGCCACATATGAGGATATTTGTTTAAAAGTTTGATAGAACAGTAGCAGTATAATGTCCTCGTAAGTGGATATCAGGCCCTTGTAGAGCAAAATTGAGTATTTTGGTCTAAATAACCCAAAATGTGATGTCCACATATGTGGACGCCAGGTCCTTGGAGGTTAAAATATAGGGTTTTAATACACACTGTTGTACTTTATCAGTTACTAATTGCTATGAGGTCCAACCAGGTTATAGCATTTATGAGGTTCACATAAATCCTTGCACTTTCTTCTGGTATGGTATTTTAACAATTTTCCATCAGGGAAGTCAAACTCATTTTACATTGGGGCCCACATGCAGCCCACTTTGGTCCTAATAGTGCCAACTGTGAAAACTGTAAATACGTTTAACCATACATTTAATCCCAGTGTTATCTCAATATAAGGAAAAGGAGTGCAATTTTAACAGTGTCTCAGTTTTACAACATGATAAAGAAATGCAGCTCTGTTTAACAAAATAAATTAGTCAGCATGACTCTTTGGGCTTTAATTGTAAATGTGCGAAATTACAAAAATTATGGTTGCTTATTTCCCACACTGTCCTGTAAATATAAAGCAGAAAAGTTTTAATTATCAAAAAAAGTCCCATTTATTGATTTTTATTATGGACACATTGTAAAAGAACTTTCTGCTGTAGATGGTGAGGGGGGAAAAAAAAAAAAAAAAAAAAAAAAGGAAATCCTGTCATTTAATTATTACTTTTGTGTGAAATGAACAGTTGTAAGGGATGTCTTCTTCAGTAGGACAAGCTGCAAAATGCCCAGCAGACTGTATTGGAGCCTTCTGCCAGGCTGATTCTGGCCCTCGCGCCTCATGTTTGACACCGATTTTACATCAGTAACAAGTGTTAAGGGGGGGGGGGGGAGAGGAGTGCATTAGAACTATAGGAGCAGGTTGTTTGTAATCATGAGCTTTCTCCACCTTCCCCCAATCCATCAGGTCAGAACAGGTTCAGCAGGTCTGTTTAATCACGCCCAGCATTACCGTAACTCAGCTGAGCATCACAGGAATCCGAGAGTACGTCAGTTATGAAAGAATTCAGTGTGACAGGACGTGTGACAAAGTAGTTAATTGTTTCACCGAGTACACTTCACTGTCTCGAGATAAACTGCAGGCCTAAAACTTTTTGCATTTTCAAGTGGCTGTACAGAGACTGATGAACAGCTGTTGAGGAACGGCCTAAAGGGAAATGGTGAATTTAATGACTGACAGTTTGCAAGTGAGAAGTTCATAAATAATCTGACCAAAGATTTCAGATCAACAAGGACAAGACCAAGTCTGTATGAAGCTTTTTTTTTTTTTTTTTTTTAATTATACAGTGTTCCATTCGTTTTCCTTTGCAATCCTACCACACACACACACACACACACACACACACACAGGACAGACAAATTAAGTTAATCACATTACTGATTGCATTTGCAATATATTCCCTGAGATGAACACATTTTTCCAGGTTCACATTTTGAAAGTCATCACAGTTCTGTGGGTGAAGTGCAAAGTGACACGGGGGAATGACAATTTCCAGACACCAACCTAATTGGGAGTGTTAGAGGCATAATATTTCTAAGACACCACACCCAGGTGAGGCACAGATGTGACAAACAAATGTGAATATCAAGCCCTCATTTTCTGCAGCTCCAGGTCGACAGTTGGCCCTGGATGTCACAGGTTTGGGAGCCGCACAGCTTCCCTCAGATGAAAACATTACACCTGGCCAGTTGTGCGTACCCTCAAATTGTAAGTCAGTCAAAAATGGTCAAGTTTTGTTAAGGATTATCACTGCTGTGCTTAGTGCCTTTTTGCGCCTCCTCACTGTGACTCCCCTCCAGCAGTTTCAGCATTTCCTGTATGACAGCCTGGAGGGCCCTACCCAGATCCTTGCCGCTGTAGGGTTTTGCTAGAGGAGGCACATGGACAAAAGCAGCACGGCCCTTTCCCAGGTGCAGAGATGTGTAGTAAGTGTAGTCACACAGGTACCTGCAAGGGGCCAAAGTAGGTGGATGTTAGAAAAACTTGCACTCTGTAGCAAAAGTCAGGAGGAGGAACTGATGGGAGATGCACTCAAAGTCTGTGTGCCAACTCTGCAGTAATGGACGTATCCCCGACTGCAGTTTGTAGCACCAGCTTTAAGCATTTAAATAGAATAATGTGCACATATGCCTTCATTTTGTGATGAGATAAAACACACACTTATCGGCCCTTGTTATCAGCTATGGATTCTGTCTGTTGGGCCCGACTGCAGCATTCAGAACAGACGTGTAAACAAAAGCTGTGCAAACACACCGTATGTTTGCTGACTGTATGGTACCGTTTACTTTGAAAGATATCTTATTGTGTTCCTTTGCTACAAAAGGCAGCCACCCATA